TCCCTGACAGGGCTCACACTGGAGAGAATGAGGAGCCCTGTTCAAATCTCCTCTTCTCAGGCAGGGAGAAGGAAATTGAACCAGCATTTACCCCTCTCAGGTGCTGACCTCTGCTTGCAATTCCAGGCCAGGAACCCCTCAGGTGCCTAAATCATTTTTCATGAGGTACTTGTGTACAGCTCAGGTGAGAGAGGGATGGAGGCTGAGGCCTAGTGGTTAGGGTCCTCCCTGGTGATTGGGGGTAAGGGTGGCCTCGCTCCCATTTCAGCTTTCAAAAGACATGGCAAAGGGGTGGGAGGGACTATGCTAGAGCGCTATATACGGTGTGGAGAAATGAATAAGTTATTCACCCCTTCACATAAAACAAGAATCAGGGTGACCCGAGGCTATGAATAGGCAACAGGTTAAAATCAAACCAAAGGCAAACTTTCCTGCAAGACAGTCAGCCTGTGGCAATCCTATCCAATCCCTGTGTTGAAGGTGAACCTGTAAGTGGGCTCAATAAAAACATGTGCAATTGTGTGGAGAACGGCTCCACCAAGGGCTATTAGCCAAGGCAGTTAGGGACAGAGTCCTGTGCAGCAGGCAGCCCTGAACCTCCCACTTCCAGCTGCTGGGAGTGGGCGACAGAGGACAGAGCACTTGAGAACTGCCCTCTTCCTTTGAAGCACTTGGCAACGGCCACTGTTGGAAGACAGATGACTGGGCAAGCAGGATCATTGATCTGAACCAGTCTGGCCAAGGGGAGTGCCCTGGAGGCGGCCACAGATGGGCATGTGTCCTAGTTGTGGTGAACAAGAGTGAGTGGAGGATTTTACTGCCCAGCAGCAAAGCCTCTTTAATTAGCAGCAGGGACACAGGCATGCCAAGTGGGGGAAGGCTTTGCCTTCCCAAACTGCCAGACATGGCCCCGCCCACACTCCACCCCCAGAATGTCTACTGTAGAGGTACAGGGGCAGAGTACTGCTGCTCCCAGTGCCCACCTCATCATGCTCCGGGGCCACAGAGGCTAGGGCCATGTGCCCCCCTCCTTCCCCAGTGCTCTGGGGGCAGAGAGCCTGGGGCTGCCCACCCTACCTGGTGCTCTGGGCTGGGGAGGCTGGGGCTACACGTTCTCCTCCCACCCCATGGTGCTGGGGGAGGGGGCTGGCACTGTGCAACACTCTGCCTCCACGTGGTGTAGGGGGGCAGGGCCTAAGAGGCTTGCCTCCCCCAGCCCTATCTTCACCCACTGCCCATGAGTAAAAGACCAAGAAGGGCTACAAATGGTCTTTGGATCAGCAATGCTCTGACATGCCAGAGGCTCTCCTGGCTGACAGAACACGGATTTGATCCAGGGGTGCACCCACCCCAGGTGAGCACCCAAAGCCCATAACACAGAGGGCTCTGGAAGCTTAGTGTGCCCTGGTTAATATCTAGTTAAAGTGGAACACTTGCGAGATCACACTGCCACTCATTTCTCAAGAAGCAGAAAGGGAGCTTGCCCCAGTACTGTACCTCCCTGACTCTCGGCCGAGTACCCAACGTACAGGACTGCAGAGGGAGTCATGGGGGTTGTGTGGCCCAATTCTCATTTCATATTTTCCAAACATGGTCAACTGCAGACGAGGCTGAAGGAGATCCCACCTCCAATCACCTGCAAGGCCCACACTTAGGCCATTCATTTGAGAGGTAAGAGATCAACATTCGTCTCAGGGAGCATAAAGGGGATTTGAACCAGCTCTATTCAATAGTTATGCACTCAAACTGCTGGACCACAGGAAGACTCATAGGGTATGTCTACACTAGCTTTATTTGCATGTTCCCATCTGGTCACCATTTTGAAATTTCACTAGCCTGAACTTACTGCCGCGTGAACTTACTAGCCTGAACTCACTGCCGCGCAGCTACACGTGGCAGTAAAATGTTAATTCGAACTAAGTCCTTGGTTCGAATTAACTGTTACTCCTCGTGGAATGAAGAGTTCGGGTTAGTGAAATTTCAAAATGGCAACCGGACGGGAACATGCAAATAAAGCCCTGGATATTTAAATCCCAGGCTTCATTTGCAACTCTGGATGCCTCATTTGCCTACCTACCTCAAAATAACGAGAGTGCTTGTGGCTTAGTGACTATTTATTGACTATTTTATCCACCTCATTAGGTGGCCCATCTTCAAAACCAAACTCTGAGGGATCCAGCACCCTTTTAAAATACTGCCTTTATTTGTAGACACATGTACCTGAATATGATATAGTTAAATTATATTGTACACAATAATAATGATATATATTATATTAACACACACATACACACACAAAATAATGACCTTCCTGTATATCTCTGAGTACTCTAGCTGTAATCCATGGGTTTTGCTCAAACAAGTTTATGAAATACCAGCCTCAGTTTTCCAACTACATTTCAATGCTAAAACTGGATTAGCTGAAGGAAGAACAAATAGTTTAGCCAACCAGATAGATATGAGACTCCAAATGACAACTTGAATGTCTATGCAAAATGCGTACAGGTTGAACCTCTCTTGTCTGGCACCCTTAGGACCTGATCAGTGCCAAGCGATGGGAAGTCAATATTGTTTAGCCGCATTACCAACACTTTCACTGCTTACTGGGCTGTGGGAAGACATTTAGGGGCAAATTAGAGCTAACTAACAGCACAGACACTGAACCAAGACTGGTGGCTGTAAGCAAACTTTACGGGCTGACCGGAGACTTGGCCACACCAATGATAAGTGGCCATCTGGCTAACTAAAACCATGCTGGACCATGGATGTTGCTGGACCAGAAAGGTTCAACCTCTACATTAGTACTTTTAAAAATCACTTAGGGTCTGTCTACACTACAAAGTTAATTCGAACTAACAAACGTTAGTTCGAATTAACTTTAATAGGCGCTACACATACAAACCACTAGTTCGAACTTAATTTGAACTAGCAGAGCGCCTAATTCGAACTAGGTAAACCTCATTCTATGAGGACTAACGCCTAGTTCGAATTGAGTAGTTTGAATTAAGGGCTGTGTAGCCACTTAATTTGAACTAGTGGGAGGCTAGCCCTCCCCAGCTTTCCCTGGTGGCCACTCTGGGCACCACCAGGGAAACTTGTCTGCCCCCCTCCCGGCCCCGGAGCCCTTAAAGGTTCACTGTCTGGCTACAGTGCCCGTGCCAGGTGCA